TAATGGAGCTGAACATTATTTTTATGTTTAGATGCATTTAAACTGATCAAATTTTATTTCAGAGAACAATGAAATTAAATTTTGTTTGATTAAAACCCTGCTAACATGGATGTACCCAAGAATCATTTGAGGCACATAATGCTTTATGAGTTCAAGAAAGGAAACTCAGCAGCCGAAGTTGTATTCTTTTTCGGCTAGAAACATTCACTCAGTTTATGGAGAGGAATGTGTGAATGAAAGAACTTATTGCAGAAGATGGTTTGCAAAATTCACGGGTGGAGATTTCACCCTTGAAGATGAAGATCGAACCGGACGTCCAGTTGAGTTTGATGAAAAGCTTCTTTTTTTTTCCCTGAAGCAGCCCTTGAAGAAAATCCTGCTTTATCAGTTGAGGAATTGGCAGTGGTTCTCAGTTCAAGCCATACAAATGTTCATCGTCATCTTCGACAATTTGGAAAAAGTTCCTAAACTTGGAAAATGGGTGCCTCATGAATTGTATGAAAACAACCTCAAATCCTGAGTTGACATCTGCTCTTCTCTCCATTCTCGCCAACTTGTTTCACTTTTTTTGAACAGACTTGTGACTGGCGACGAAAAATGGATCTTTTTTTTTTTCATAAAATTTGTTTTTTTGTTAAGCGTCGTAGACAGTGGCTTTAAATTTAAAAATTTAAAAATAATTTATTCCTTCATCTAGAAAATTCCACTTTTCATCGTATTATTATTATTATTGCATAAAGGGAAAGACCCCAGCTATTCCAGAAATTGTATTGTTTTTACAGCCGAGAAGGGAACTTCATGGGCAAAATGTTCTTCTTTCAATCTGGTGGGATTGCCAAGGAATAATCCACTTTGAATTTTTTTACCACCTAATGCAACAATTAATGCTCAAATATACTGTCAGCAATTAGAGCGTTTGAACCAAGCTTTTGAGGAAAAAAAACCTGCTCTAGTGAATCGAAAAGAGGTGATGTTTCATCAGGAAAATGCGCGACCCAATTTTAAATTTTGTTAAAATGAACAAAGAATCAAATCGTCACAAAACAATGATCGAAAACTTGGTTGGGAGAAAATTCCCCATCCAAACATTCTTATTCTCCCGATCTTGCTCCTTCAGACTACCATTTGTTTCTCAGTAGCTTACAGAATCATTAGGAAGAAAAACAGCTTTTGTAAACACAGGAAGAGGATTAAAACTGACATTTGTGAGTTCTTCGAATCAAAGCCAAAAAGAATTTTACAGTAATGGAATTAGTAAGCTTGTTAATAGATGGAAGGAAGTCATAGATAATCAGGGAAAATACATTGTTGATTGAATCTGTAATTAAATGTAACATTTGGTCACTTGTTTTCTTTATTCAAAATTCGGACAGAACTTATGGGATGACCTGATAGATAGATAGATAGATGTTTTTCTTAGAACTCAAACTTCTTCCAGTTTCCATGCAGAGATCCTTAGGAATGTTCCTAGTGCTCCAATTATTCGCAACATTCACTTCTAATTTATGAAGACCAATCTCCATTATTATTATTATTATTATTATTATTATTATTATTCCTTTGATTTCTGTTGCATACTCATTTCTTTCTGAGTGCAAACCAGAAACCTAAGGCCAGAAATGGCGTGATAAAATTTTCTTCTGAACATTTTTTGAGTTAAAAAAAGCAAAAAATACCTAAGATCACACATATTTTACATAGATAAAGCCCTTCGTAAAGTGTAAGCTCTACCTGTGAGTACAATTTTTTTTTATTTCTTTAAGGCTACCAGGAATCCCTTCAATGAGTCTGTTGGTATCTTTTCCAATTAATCCGAGGGCTCCAACTACAAATGAAATTATTGATGTCCTCATGTGCCACATTTTTGAGATTTCGATTACAAGGTCCGTGTATTTTGATAGTGTTTTGAAGATCTGCAAAGATACATTACAGTTTGCAGGGACTACCATATCAATAAGACGACACTTTTTGTCTTTGCGGTCTCTAATCACGATGTCTAAACGATTAGCTTTTTTTTTATTAACAATACTTAGAGATGAACGTGATTTAAGAAAAGAAAAAGGAAAAATTAAGAACAGTGTTTAACAATATTTATTTTATTTAAATATTTAACAATATTTATTTAACAATATTTATTTAACGATATTTTATTTAAATATTTAACAATATTTATTTTGTCTATTTTTCTGAGAAGAGGTATTATGTACATTATTTACATTATTCGGACTATTGTCCTCATCTTTGTCGCCATATTTATTACAACGTTTCGGCCGTTGTACGATCCGGCCTCTTTCAGGTGGTTGGAATGTCAAACTGAACTCATTTATTTGCCTATTGCCTGGACATTGAACACTAACTGGGTTCTATCCTCTTGTAAATTTATATATATATATATATATATATATATATATATATATATATACACACACACACACACACACACACACACACACACACACACACACACACATATATATATATATATATACAGAGCAGCATGAATCCATCCAGCTCTTATCTCAAATAACAACTTAAAAGAGACTGAACAACACAAAGAGTGACCAAAATTTATGTTAAAAAAATAAAAAACAAATGAAAACTACAGACAAAAGTTCATTTTTTCCATCAAGACATTCATTTCTGTAGTTCACTGCTACCAACAAGCAGAGAATTATTTTTCTCCTGATGATGGCCAAGTTGGCCGAAACTAGTCGAGCAATCTAAATGAAATGATAATAAAACCGAAAGAATATTAATATACAACCCAGTGTGTCTGATGATTTTAATTTTTAATTTTATATATTTTTATTGTTCAATATATATATATATATATATATATATATATATATATATATATATGAAAAGTGAATATAAATATAAATAAATATATATATATGTATAATTATTTATATATTATATGCGCGGTACTTATTAGAAAGCGCTCAATATCAGAGAGAGAGCTAACATATTTGGTTGGATAGATGTGAGTTTGTGACCCTGGGTTTCACGCTTTAGCGATCGTCAGACAAACTGTTTGTCTGACGATCGCTAAAGTGTGAAACCCAGGGTCAAACTCATATCCAACCAATATATATATATATATATATATATATATATATATATATTTTTTTTGAATAGATCTTTTTTACGTTTAAATTGAAATCTTTAGCTAGTTTCTGAATATTTTTGAATGTTTTTAATCAAGCGCTATTTTTAACGAAGAAGGATCCAAACAGAATTTCGAGTTTTCACTTAAAATCTTTTTTCAATTGCCATTTCATGTAACGATTTATGTCCACAATCCGGATGTTAAATTAGGTCATCACGGGTCCTAACGCCAGTTAATACAACTGAGGACACACCATTTCCTTTCCCCACTTCCTACACGATAACAACTTAATATCTTTCTTTCCCCGACTCTCTCAATATGAAATCACTATTCTTAATTTTTAAATCTAGAATTAATTTTTCCATTTTCATTTGGTTTACAGGTCTGGAGATTTGAAGCCGATTTTTATCGAATTCAATGAAATAAATATCACCTATGGTTTTTTAAGTGTTTGTTATTATATAGTAATTTTTGCTCTATCTTTTGACATAGGGCTCTCAACGGATCTATATCCTCTTGAAAATCCCATATAGATTACCAATAATTTTATTATTAACACACACACACACACACACACACATATATATATATATATATATAAATACACAGAGTGTAACACCAAAATTGTCGAAATCGGGTAAAAGCAAAATTGTCCATTTGTTAGATTAAGCTTTGAATCAATGTATCATAGAAATGATTAAAAATATCTTATTGGAATTCTCCGAGATTTTTATAACCCTATTGGACTCTACTTTGAGCAATAAAAATGTGTAATTACTCTCTAAGCTTAACAATAAGAATTGTTATGAAATCGATCATAAACGAAAATGACATAGTCATCATTAGTTAATCATAGCTAAGGATCGGAAGCTCATGAAGGATTGAAATTAAATTCATATATATTTTTCCCAAGATCATTAGTCACCTTATTCAAGATGATCTTCGTCCTCTCTAACCTTCTAACTTTCTGTCCTGGTGTAACAAGGTGTATCACAGGTTTCAAGTACGATTTGATTTTCAAGTCTTTTTTCACTGCTCTTTGGACTGACATAGCTGAAATTCCTCCCTTGCGTGCTAAACATGTTATAGATTGAGTTGGATCTTTTCTAATTGATCTCTTTTGCTCCAAGTTGAAATGATGATCCCAATTTCTGTTGTGACCTCCTGATCCCGTTTTCCTCTGTAATTTTCCTCTCTTTTAAACTTATTGTTGTATCCTTAAAGAAGGTTACAAACAGACAAAAGGTGGTACTCAAGTGAAAGGAACTGCAACACAGGCCTAGATGAAAGAAAGAGAGGTTTATTGAAAGAGAGGAAGTCGACTAACACTTCCCGAAGCCAGTCAGACTGATAGACAAACAGACAGACTCTGGTATGTCCTACATATATTAGTGATATAGTCAGTCCACAATAGGTAATAAGGAGAGTGGAACATTCCATTACAACACTTATTCACCCTTCTCTTGATGGTTCTTGAATGAACTTTGAAAATAGAAGCCAGACTATGATTGCTGATACCATTACTGAAGGCATGAATGATCTTTTTCCTCTCACCATTGCTCAGTTGGGAAGATATAGTGGGTTTGACACAAAACGATTTTAACTAGCTCTCTTTCTAGCTGAATAACGCAACGTTTTTTTTTTGTTTTTTTTTTTTAGATTCTTACTACGAATAGTGTCCAAATGGCTAACCATTTTATCTGAAAACATGGAAAAAAGAAACTCTGTTTATTTTTTTTTTTTTTTTTAAATATATAATATTTCTGGGATGAACAATTATGCTGTTACACGATTTGAACACTTTTGCTGTTACACCCAGAAGAAATAATCCAGTGACAGGGACCTGCAGATACTTGGTGACTTTGTCAGTGACAAAGATGCCATTCGTGCTATGGGTGGAGAACTCTCTGACGATACTGTGGAACAAAACCCTTGTTCAATACCAACAACATGTCTGGATGAAAATGTGTCAATCCAGAAAATCTGCAAATATCTTGACTCAGTTGGAAATGGTGCAACATTGTTTATGGAGCCTTGAGATCCTCAGCGCAATGATTGCGTACCGTGTAGGCAGGACTTGGACAACATGGATGCTCTCGTCGGGGACTATTGCCATCAGTGGATGCACCTGATAAATATTGGTAAGAGAAGCATTCCCAAAAGCAAGTTTGGAATTTGCAGACATTGTTATTCCTGAAATCTGTCTATATTTCTGAGATGAAGTATTATGTACACTATTTACATTATTTGGACTATTATCCTCATCTTTGTCGCCATATTTATCACAACGTTTCAGCCCTTCAGTATCTGTCTATATTTCTGAGATGAGGTATTATGTACACTGTTTACATTATTTGGACTATTGTCCTCATCTTTGTTGCCATATTTATTACAATGTTTCGGCCCTTCAGTATCTGTCTATATTTCTGAGATGATGTATTATGTACACTATTTACATTATTCGGACTATTGTCCTCATTTTGTCTCCATATTTATTACAACGTTTCGGCCTTTCAGTATCTGTCTATATTTCTGAGATGAGGTATTATGTACACTATTTACATTATTCGGACTATTGTCCTCATCTTTATTGCCATATTTATCACAACGTTTCGGCCCTTCAGTATCTGTATATATTTCTGAGATGAGGTGATATTTACACTATTTACATTATTCGGACTATTGTCCTCATCTTTGTCGCCATATTTATCACAACGTTTCAGCCCTTTAGTATCTGTTTATATTTCTGAGATAAGGTGATATTTACACTATTTACACTATTTACACTATTGTCCTCATCTTTGTCGCCATATTTATTACAACGTTTCGTCCGTTGTACGCTCCGGCCTTCTTCAGGTGGTTGTGATGAATATGACGACAAAAATGAGGACAATAGTCCGAATAATGTAAATAGTATTCCTGAAATGCTTAAAATATTCAGAGACTTTTATATTTACTTTAATAATTGATGATCAATAAATGATTTTAACTTGTGTTTTAACAATTAATGGGGGAAATAAATAAACTTCTGTGTTAAATCTGCGTGATGTTATTTTTAACTTTACCTGCCTTCTTAATAATAAAGATATTTACCGGCAAAATAGCCTGGGGGTTCTATTTTACAGAGACCGGTAAAATAAGTTTAAATATATGTTTGCGTAGGCAAAATAACCTCTTGTATATTGTTTCAATCTAATATTAACTTTAATTTTAATGGGTAGACGTGTTTCAGTTGCTATCCCTGTTTAAATAACTTTTATTAATTTCAGCTGATACCGTCTGCTATTTTCATTTTGTTACGTCTGCATTTGTTTTCACATTGATTCACTTTGTTATCTTTAGTGGTTATATCCAGTGGTTATATCCAGTGGTTATCTTCAGTGGTTATATCCAGTGGTTATATCCAGTGGTAATGCTTGATTGATTGATCGTTTAACGGCATATCAACTCCTTGTGGATCATTTAATGCCGACATTTAATTTTCTGGGCAGCTTTGAAGTAATAAAAATATATATGTTATTCTACTTTCACAATTGAATCCATGGTAGATGATACTCAGCTTTTGTACATATAAATGTTTGTGTGGACATAATTACTAGGGACGGTGATATGTGTGTTTTATGTTGTAGTTTTGTTCAAGTTCTACTTTAGAATACAGTTTAATTTCTTTAAGAAATTGTAGGATATTATATGGATTAATATCAGGAAAAGAGTTCTTTCATGTTGGTTGTTTGGTTGATTTTGTTTAGCGGCATATCAACACCTCTATGGGTTGATTAATGCAGAAATCTAAATATTTTGAACATAGTTTTTATGGCATCAGCTCCTGATAAAATTTATTGTTGGTCATTTGGCTATAAAATATATTGTTGATATTTCTGCATTAAAAATATAACGTTGGTAAATTTTTTTATATAAAATGGGTTGCTTAATTCCTCTTCCTTTATTGTTCTGGTTCCTTAACAGAGTTTTAGCATTCTTTAACATTCAATAACATCTTGCATCTTAGTTGCTTTATCACCTTGCTCATGGTGAAAAAATTAAAAAGTGATGTAATAGAATAACCTGCCACCACCATGAGTGGCGGCACTATAGGTGGTAACCACCTATAAATATCCATTAGGACAATAAACAGCAGAGTCGCGATGGGATCTTTCCCAGCTGCGCTAATCGAACTTTCTACCTTCGGGCAGAGAGGAACCCGGAAGAGGCTATGCCGAAGCGCAAAGTTTCGTTCGGGGAGGTAGACAGACCCGATCCCGTTTATTCGGGGTCTACGGGGATTTTTTGGTCGTGTTTCCGGGCTCGGGAACCCCACTTTAAATTCGGCCTAGTGCCACATGTGACTGCGTGGTGCAGTTACTAAATAGCGTCGAGCTAGGATCTGCGAGAACTCGTGGCCTTCCAATAGCATCACGCACACAACTGTACTGACTTGCGACGACCATGCACATAACTGTTACTTCTTTGCTTGTTGTACTGGTTTCTACAATAAACCTGTTTCTATTTATCCACCATGTTTGCCCAGTCTATATTCCTATTAGCATGGAATATAACAAAAAGAAATCGAATGTACATTTATTTTATTGGTTCAAAGTAATAATCTGATTTTTTATAGTTAGTATGCTAGTATGACTGATTTGTTTAACAGCATTATGGGTTATTTAATGCCAAAATTTGATTTTCTTGGGAGTTTTAAAATAATAAAAATACGATATATGTTATTCTGCTTTCACACTTGAATACATGGTAGATGATACTCAGCTTTTGTGTGTATATACATGTTTGTGTGGACAAAATTACTTGAGGCAGTGATATGGGTGTTTTATGTTGAAGTTATATTTTATAATACTGTTTAATTTCTTAAAGAAATTCTAGAATATTTTATGGATTAATGTCCTGAAAGTTGATGGATTTTGCTTAGTGGCATATCAACACCTGTATGGGTTATCTAATGCCGAAATCTAAATATGCTGAACACAGTTGTATGCCTTCAACTACAGATAAAATGTATTGTTGGTCATTTTACTGTAAATAGGTATTGTTAGTAAGTTTGCTATAAATATTTATTGTTGGTAATTATTTTATATGAAAATATATTGTTAGTATTTTTACTATGAAATATATATTTTTACACTTTCATAGTGTTTTGTCTTTGTTCGGGGGTTCATTCTTTGCACATAGCTGCTACCTGAACAGTTGCTACCACCCCGAGTCAGGGTGGACCTAGAAACCACAGCAATTAAGGGGTGGTCCCACGCTCCTCAAAACCTGCAATCTCCCGATCAGAGGCCTTGCTGTCGGAATGGTGGGCCTGGGAACAACAGCAATTAAGAGATGGTTCCATGCTCCTCAAAACCTCCAATCTCCCAATCTGATGCCTTGCTGCTGAAAGGGTGGACATGGGAATCAACAGCAATTAAGAGGTGGTTCCACACTCCTCAAAACATCCAATCTCCCGGTCAGAGCTCTTGCTGCCGGATGTAGTTTATCGTCATACCCAGGACTACATTGGTAGTATTCAGTTGGTAATGTACGGTTCACTCATACTTTATTTGTTTGGGTAGCGTAACAATTATCATTGCTGAAAGTAGAATCTGTGGTCCGGGTTCAAATTCCGACCAAGTCTGTTGCGTTTACTATTGCAGTCAGGCTCTTGAGAAATCAATGAATTCGTTTCTTTTTGGTCAACAGTTGTGGCTTAAATAGCAGGACAGTCTAAAGGAAGGAAATTACTAAATTAAAAACCGTAGAGAAGGCAATTTTAGCTATTCCATTATCTTCCCCAAGAAATCACGGCTATTTCTTTTCCTTTTTATGCGCCATGTCCCTTAAGGACGTTGGTGATCATGGATCGCCACAATACCCTGTCCTCTGTCGATGTAAATAATTTTCTTTTTGCTATCTTTCCTAATCTAACAATTTACACAAGCCCGTTAGGTAAGTCCTGGGTATGACGATAAACTACATTCGGCAGCAAAGCCTATACGTAGGAGGAGTCCTGGGTATGACAATAAACTATATCCGGCAGCAAAACCTCTACTCGGGAGGGGTCCTGGGTATGACGATAAACTACATCTGGCAGCAAAACCACTAATCGGGAGGGGTCCTGGGTATGACGATAAACTCTATCTGGCAGCAAAACCTCTAATTGGGAGGGGTCCTAGGTATAACGATAAACTACATCTGGCAGCAAAACCTCTAATCGGGGGCTGGGGTCCTGGGTATGACAATAAATTACACTCGGCAGCAAAGCCTCTACTTTAGAGATTGGAGGCTTTGAGAAGCGTGCAACCACATCTTAATTGCTGTTGTTCCCAGGACCACCTTCATCCGATCAGCTGGCCTAGATTGGGCGATAGATTTGTACCTCAAAGTCTTAGATTATTATTATTATTATTATTATTATTATTATTATTATTATTATTATCCGACTGTTGGATATCTCGTCTCCTTCCGCAGCTGAGAGACACAACCCTTTCTCCAGGACATGATTTCTTCCAAGCAATGCTGCCACCTGCGAACTTCCATGTCAGGTATTCCCAATGCGTCTTGTGAGGCGGGAAAGATTATATAGCCCCGAGTGCAACAACCGTAAACGGGACAACAACTTGGTACATTTCACCGATTTTCCCTACCCGGTCTTGGTACCATTGTATTTTCACTTGCTACGGCTTCAGTATGTTCTTATCCCAAGGTATTACATCTGGATTCATTTATGACCGCTTTTGAGAACAGGGCGATTGCTCTCCAAGCGCTTGTCAGTCAAAATGGTTGTATCCTACTTGAATTTCACTTGCTCATTCTCGGCAACTAACAGTAGAGTCTGCTCACACCCGAGGCTATACTTCTTTTATAGTTCTTAATATATTTTGACGGTTACTCTGTCATGATGTCATGATGTCATCTGTATTCTATTGGTACCACGTGGGCGCAGCCACATACAAGTAGCTTTTTCAGTAGCTTTTTCTACACAGCCGGCACGATGTTCTATCGATAGAGTAGAGTGTGTTCTTAAATGTTGCGCTTGCGTTGCCGAGATTATCTCTTCGGTTTCCATCTTCAATAATCCGGTCGTAATCCACCTGCACGATTCGGAATCTGTCAGCTTTTGGGTTTCTTGGGTGAATGCTCCGTGTAATGGATTTTTCCACAGCATTTGCACCGAAGAAACCGAAGAGGTGGCACTAGATCCAAAATTGTCATTATTATTATTATAACTTCCACCTCCTCCTCCTCCCTCTCCTCTTATCAACTTCGTTCTTTTCACTGGTTCATATCGCTTTTTATTTCTATTCTTGCCGCTCTCTTCTTCTTCTTCTTTCTTCTTCTTCTTCTTCTCAACTTCTTTCTTCTCGTCTTCCTTTCTTCTTTCTCTTCTTGCTTTTCTTCTTCACCGTCATCACCTTGTTCATATCGCCTTTTCTTTCTGTTCTCGCCTCTCTCTTCATCTTTTTCTTCTTCTCAACTTCCTTCTTCTCGTCATCCTTTGTTCTTTCACGTCTTCCTTTTCTTCATCGTCATCACCTTGTTCATATCGACTTTTCTTTCTGTTCTCGCCTCTCTCCTTCTTCTTCTTCTTCTTCTTCTCAACTTCCTTCTTCTCGTCTTCCTTTCTTCTTTGTCGTCTTCCTTTTCTTCTTCACCGTCATCACCTTGTTCATATCGCCTTTTCTTTCTGTTCTCGCCTCTCTCTTCTTCTTCTTCTTCTTCTTTTTCTCAACTTCCTTCTTCTCGTCTTCCTTTCTTCTTTGTCGTCTTCCTTTTCTTCTTCACCGTCATCACCTTGTTCATATCGCCTTTTCTTTCTTTTCTATTCTCGCCTCTCTCTTCTTCTTCTTCTTCTTCTTTTTCTCAACTTCCTTCTTCTCGTCTTCCTTTCTTCTTTGTCGTCTTCCTTTTCTTCTTCACCGTCATCACCTTGTTCATATCGCCTTTTCTTTCTGTTCTCGCCTCTCTCTTCTTCTTCTTCTTCTTTTTCTCAACTTCCTTCTTCTCGTCTTCCTTTCTTCTTTCTCGTCTTGCTTTTCTTCGAATTTGCATTTATTTTCTCTTCTTCTTGCCTTTATTGTTCGTCATCTATTCCTCCGCCATTTTTTCTCGGTCCTTCTCGCCTTTTACTCTTCTTTTGCCGCTTCTAGCCTGCCTCAATCATATTCATCATCATCATCGTCATCATCATCATCATCATCGTCATCATCATCGTCATCGTCATCATCATCATCGTCACCATCATCATCATCATCATCATCATCATCATTGTCACCATCATCATAATTGTGATCATCATCTTTTTCTGCTCTATTCTTCTATTTTATTATTATTCTCGCTTTCTTTCATTGTCATCATTAGCCTCTCCTCCTCTTATTTCATATTCTTTTTCTTCTTCCTCTTATTATTATTATTATTATTATTATTATCATAATATTGTCTTCTTTGGACCTCTTATCCTTTTCTTTCTTCTTCCTTTTTCTTCAACTTATCATTCTGCTTTTTTTCTTTCGTCTTTTTCATTTACTTCTTTCGTCGTCTTCTTCCTTCGTCTTTTTTCTTTCCTCTTCTTCTTCTTTCTTCTTCTTCTTTCTTCTTCTTCTTCTTCTTCTTCTTATTATTATTATTATTCTCTTTGATTTCTGGCGTTTACACATTTCTTTCCGGGTCCCGCCCAGGGACCTAAGGTTAGAAATGGCATCATGACACTTTTCACTGACAAAAAAAAAAAAAAAAAAATTACATCGATAAAAGCCCTTCGTAAAATGTGGGCTGTACTTGTCAGAACAATTTTTTGTATCTCCTTGAGGCATGGACTTCCAGGAATCCCTTCAATGAGTCTACTGCAATCTTTTCCAACCAATCCTAGGGCTCCAACTACAACAGGGATTGTTGATGTTCCCATATGCCACATTTTCGAGATTTCTATTTCACGGTCCTTGTATTTTGACAACTTTTTGAATATCTTCAAAGATATATTGCAGTCTGCAGGGACTGCCATATCAATAAGAAGGCACTTTTTTGTTTGTAGTCTTTAATAACAATATCTGGGCGGTTGGCTTTGATTATTCTGTCAGTGTGTATTGTGTAGTCCCATAGAATTGTAACAGGTCCTATCTCCGTAACCGGGTCTGGGTGGTGTTCATACCAGTTTCTTTCAGTTTCCTTCCCGTAGAAGTTGCAGATTTTCCAGTGCAGATATTGGCCCACTCTGTCATGCCGGGTTTTATATTCAGTGGGTGCCAATATCATGCAACCTGATACAAGATGATCAATCGTTTCTGGATATTTATCACAGAATCTGCATTTTGGACTGACACAATACTTTAGTATATGTGCTTGATAATTCCTAGTTAGCAAGCATTGGTCCTGTGCATCAAGGATAAAACCTTCAGTTTCAACTTTCAACCCTGCACTACGTAGCCACTGATGGGTACGGGTTTTGTCTACATCAGCTTGTTTGGTACGGGCAGAGTATTGGCCATGAAGCGGTTTATCTTGCAATCGCTTCTGTATCTGGTCGGTCGCATTCGTCTTTGCTGTCTTTTTTAAGTATTTTGCAGTTTCAGCCGGTGTATTGTGTTGTACTTGCATCTCGGCGCCCATTTGAAACTCAATTTATTATTATTATTATTATTATTATTTTTATTCTTCTTTTTCCTTCCTCTTCTCCTCTCGTCATCTTCTTCTTATTATTTTTTTCTTCTTTCATCTTCTTCTTCTTCTTCTTCTTCTTCTTCTTCTTCTTCTTCCCCCTCCTCCTTCTTCGTCTTCTTTCGTCTTCTCCTTTCGTCTTTTCCTATTTCTTCTTCCTCCTCCTATTCTACTTTTTCTTCTTCCTTCGTCTTCCTTTTCTTCTTTCGTCTTTTCCTTTTCTTCTTCTTCTTCTTCTTCTTCTTATTATTATTATTATTATTATTATTATTATTATACTTTTTTCTTGTTTCATTTTCTTCTTCTTCCTTTGTCATCTTTTCTTCTCTCGTCGTCTTCTTCTTCTTCTTCTTCTTTTTCACTTGTCCCCTCTCTTAAATTACTGGGTGGATCACAATTTTTACAGATCGTCGTTTATTAATAATTTCATATTTCTGTCAGCATCGCCATTCTAATCATTTCTTTGATGATATTTTTCTACCCTTTTTCAAGTCTTTCATTTCAATTTCGACAGCAACGATGCATCTTTCTTCTTTTTTTTTTTCTTTTTCACATAGCACATTATTCTGTTGGATTCTATTTATTCTTTGTAGCAAAATAAAAAAAAAAAAGAAAAGGTCCCTAGTAAGAAAATAAGGTCATACATTCCTTACCCAAACCCGCGCTCCTATCCACACGCATGCGCAAAAACACACTTATCGACTCACTATCACTAAAACAAGTCTTTTAGCATGTCGGAGATTTTTCTTTTCTTTCTTCCACGCCTCGGGTGACAGAGACGCGTCCCGCGCATAAGCGTGGTTAGATGTCCCCTGATTTTTTTTTGTCTTAGAAAAAAGGGGACAAAAAAGAACAAATAAAAGGAAGCAATAATAACATATTAATAATAAAGACGGAAAAGGGTTGATCGCAGTTTTTCACAAAAGCTAGAAAGAATCGCCCCAACCCACTGATTGTTTTCGTCGTTTTCCTCTTTGCTAAATTGTAAATAAAACGTAAAATTATTGGTGTTGCAGTCAAATCTCAATTATATATATATATATATATATATATATATATATATATACAAATGACAGAAAGAACAGATGGGGTAAAAATCCACAGTCCCTAGCATTAATTTTTTTTAAAAGTGCTCAATACAAAATTGACCAAATATTATTATATATTTATTATAATAAATTATAATAAAAACATTTAACATCGCTACACAAAATCTTTCACGTTTCGATAGTAAGATGGTACCTCTTCGGGCTATGGTAGATAACTAATGCAAAAAATGATTTATTAGGGAAATTTTTAAAAAAAGAAATCATTACCTATTTAACACTGTTTTCAAGTATATACAAAAAAGTTTATTAATAAAAAAATGTTGAAATTCATAAAATTAACATTTTATTAAGTATATCTCTTTGTATAATTCAATTTATCTTGATTATATTCATAGTCGGATATTAGCAAATAGTAACACATTCCAAAAAATGTAATTTCATCCATACAGAATTGAATAACACCCCTATCTATAACCTAATGCCTATATTTCTCGCTTTTCTGCTTCTGAAATGACGTGTTTTTTA